CCAAAGTCGAGCTTGATGAGCCGAAAGAAGATCGAGACGCGATGGTTAGACGGCACGCGACACGCATCATCGGGACAACACTCGGATTCCCAGACGGCTGGACACCTAACCTTCGACGATGCTTTACGTTCGCGATGCTGCCGCAAAGCCAACGATATCTCTCGGCCGTCGTTTTCGCTATTTCCGGCGCTATCCGTCAGTCCCGGTTACGAAGACACCAGCAAACGCCCCTCTACGAGACGCTACGTGTCTTTCACAGACCGTGTGCGCCGAGTTATGCCCCTAAAGAGGTTTCTATTTAGATCACCACTTTCCGCCGACATCTACGCCCCTAGTCCTTTAGTCTTCTTCTTCTTCTTTGTTTCTCTTTTTCGTCGATTTCGTTGGCCTGCCTCTCTTTCGATGGCATTCAACGTCGCGAGGAAACTGGGGTAGATCGTCCATTTAACTGGCATTTTATTTATTACGCTTAATAGCTGAACGACGTATCTGGGAGAAAAAAAAACGAATTTCTTCGAGGAAATCACAATACGAAATAGAGAATCAGGTGTCGATTAGTCGATAAAGAGAATCCCTGCTTCGTTGCTCAATTTAAAGAACAATCTCTGTTTTACAAGGAATTTTTACAAAGAAATTCACTCTTCGAGACCGTTCTCGCAAATGTCGGCGAATTAACGTTTCTTGACACGTGTTGCTCGTTCGACGTATTCGAGGTATCCGCAAGCCTAAGCCTGGTAGTTACAGTAACATCCAACCCTACACGACTAACGAAGCTGGCAGTTCGGCTCGTGTTTGCCTCGCATATGGCAACAACGTCGATCGACCAGCCCAGCCCGTTTAACGAGCGGATTTCGTGGATCTGCGCGATATACACGTCCCGGAAGGAATTCCGAGGGACCGTTTGCGAGGTGGCGTCTGTCACGGCCAGTTTCCGATGAATTATACGCGTCGGACGGTGTTCCCATCCGGCGACGACGCCTTCGCCATGCGATGTGCCGTTTCTTGGCACCGTGCGCACCATCACTCGGTGAGTCAACCGCTCCCTGACGAGGCGTTTCTGACGAGTCGTGACGCGGCGTTTCTTCGACTCGTTCTATTAAGGTTATTAGAGTAGAATGCGGATGACTCGATCCGTTGCCCGATAAAACCGGGCCATTTTGACGCGCGTGTGTGTCCGACGTGTCGGAGAACGGGGCCGTAAGATTTGGTTTCTCGGCCAAACGGAGAATTTCGATATCCCTGGGCGCGATGGAAAGATGCAGAATGTCGTTCGACTAACTTTCTAGTGCTTTCGAATTACGCTATATATGATTGTATTACCTGTACCTATTAATTAATTAAGTGTACCTATAATACGTATCTACTCTATGCAGAAATCAGTGCAGCTTAAATGATAATAATTGAAATAAATAAATTTGCACAATTACGTTTCTGTCTGAGTAGAAATCAGTGTTAATTTTGACAGGAATGTCCGTATCTTTAAAGAAAGAAAGGAGGAAATATCTTTAAACGAATTACTTAAAAAAAAACTTTTTTTACAAATCTGTATAAATATTAGAGCACGCAAACAGGGGCATTTATCCTGAAATACGGGCAGTTATTAAATCGTAATAATTTTCAAACAATTTTTAACAGTCCTATCGACTGATTTGAAAAACTAATGTAATAAGAAATTATTAAAACTTCGTACAATCAATTTTGTTATCTAGTGAAATAAAAGATTCAAATGTTTAAAAAGAAAAACAAATCGTAGAAAATTATAAAATATTCTACAATGTCGTTTTAATGTTAATTTCCAGTATTTTGCTGTCACAGAGTTGTATTATATTGCAGTTGTTCATATACTATTGGGCAAGAGGTAACACGGTAATCTTGGCGAACAGAAAGCAAATTATAACTTATACATGTAAATTAAATGCTGCTGTTAAATAATTCGAAAAGCAGGGTATGTTAATAAAGGGTTGAGAGGCATAAAAGGATTTTTTCCTGCTCGCGTTGTGTGCCTCGTTAATATAAATATGTAATACTCTTGCTCTCTTGTTGTACATCGAGTTGCCACTAGATGGCCTGTGAAACCATTTTCTTTCTCGCTAGTTGTCAAAGATTGATTCATTCCTTTATATACAAGGAACGAACACTAGCAATCGTACTTGCTTCGGCAGTACATATACTAAAATTGGAACGATACAGAGAAGATTAGCATGGCCCCTGCGCAAGGATGACACGCAAAATCGTGAAGCGTTCCACATTTTTTGACATTTTGAACTCGTCAAACGTTTTTATTTACCACTTAATCGAAGTAATATTTAAGGAAACGTTCCGATTTTTTTTTTAAATCTTTTTTCTAACCAATTTATAATATACACTTGAATATACTATATATAAATGTATAACATATACAGAGCGTAACTTGCTTGAAATAACTTCTAAACTATGCGTCTAATGAAAAATTGTTTAACGCAAAAGTTGTGTGGTTTTAAGAGAAATGGCAAAATGGCGTATATCAATTTTTCGAAATTTCCAAGTTCTTCTTTTTTTCTTTTTTAATTAATGGACCATATATTTTTTTCATCGTAATTGAAAGGAATATTAAATTCCAGTTAAAAAAAGGTATGAACACACAGTGATCCTAAACGTAATGGTTACGATAATTTGTCTCGAGGATGAAAACTGCACAGAGCATTAGAATTATTTGCTTGCAATAACTTATATACATAAGTGATCTCGCTTTATTCACACGTAATGCTCAAAATGGTGTCTATTAACACTTATACAATTTTGTAATCACGATATCAATGTACGCTATACATACATACATACATATATATAGTGTCAATATGACATTATATATAATTATGTATAATATGACATTATATAATAAGTCAATATATACAATGAATGAAGCATAGTTTACAAGACTTTAATTAAAATTAGACATCTCGCCTTGGGTACGGCTCCGCTCGTTCGGCGCAGTCATTTTCGAAAACTTCGGCGTTAATTTTAGCCGATAATTCAATGCGGAGAATTCATTTCTCACGAGCCATCTGCAGCCAGTTATGCGACCGGAGATATTTCTGTTTAAACCGACCCGTATACGTGTCATCCGGCTGCGTTTGATCTTGACAGGTGAACAACGTGAGAAAGGTCTTATTAACGAGGCGTGTTCCCCTCACGAGATGATTTTTCCAACGCTTTCGTAAATAGCCGCGGCTTGATCGTCGTTGACAACTGTAACGGCCGGACAAATTCTCGACGAAGGGACGTTCCCGTTCTCCTCTAAATCCCGCTGAGAATCGGCAATCGAACAGCCGTTCAATCCGTAATTACCCGGCTACATATTTTATTATGGCGCGAACTCTGGACGCGCGCGCTCGCTGCCGGCCGCGCCTCGAATTATTTACTCGGCAATTACATTAATTATGTCGTCTATAATTAATCCAATTACAAATGAATATTGTCTCGTTGTCTATTCCGCTAATGGCGGCGTTATATCGCGCCGCGGAATCGTGCCTCCCGCGATCGGCATTTTTATTCTCCGGCTGTTCGTCAAAGTGATTTCGCAGACATTTCAGCAGATCGTAAGAAAGACTTTTTTTTACGTGTAAAGTATTATTACTAGCGCTCGTTGTGACGAGATACGCGACTGTCACGATCGTATTGATCAAAATTGAAACTTGACTGGAAATGTCGAGACTCGTGGATATTGCAGGATATTTATCGTGAAGTATGAATGCATTTAGCAAAAATTAATACACAGTTACTGCTCGCTACTGAATCTTTCCAATTTATTCATATTCATATAAATCCTCTCGGATTTGTTTCAAATGTTTCTTTCCGCATTACACGGCACGACCGGCACGCATTTACTACTGAATAAGAGAGTTAATAATTTATAAACCGTCGCCCTCATCGTTGCTCGAGATAGAACTCATCGATAGAAATCTTG